AAAGCTGCTTGAGCTGTGGCATGTGACCTCTGGCCACATGTGGCTGAGGCGATGATGGTTTACCTGTTAGGAAGTGGGAGCTTCATCCAGAGATGTCCCTTGTTTTGTTGGGAACAGTGGGCTGGCATTGTTTGCCCCGTTCTGTCATTGCTCAGACGCCCCCGCAGAGCCACGTGGCAGCAGCTGGAGCTCAGAATAAAAATCGGCCTGCACGGTTCTCAGCCCTTTGAAGAGAGCCGAGAGTGCTGGTTTTCCTGTGGCTTCCGGCTGCCCCTGCTGCTGAGGTGTGGCCTCTGGTTGGGTGTTTGGTTCCTGAGTATTTCAGATTGCTGTGCTCTCTTGGTCACGAGGCTTGGCACCTTCCGTGGATATTTATTTCCAGGCTAAACTCTATGCTCTTTCTGGCGACCAGTGAGGAAACCTTTTATAGTTGGGTGCTCACTGCCATATCTTGTAACTGATGGCATTTAAAACAATTTCCCTAGTATTTTATGTTGAACAATTGGAAGTACAGTACAGTGAGCAGCCATGGACCACAGGTCCATCTTCCAGTTAGTACTGTGTTATCTTTGTTTATATATCTGTCACAGCTAATTGGATCTTAATGTTAAGTTGGAGGAATTATAAGAAAATAGTAACCATATCATTTTCTCTCCCCAATTTGTAATTTAAAAAAAATTCTGGGGGCCGGCCAAGTGGCGCATTGGTTAGGAGTTGGCTTGGGACGCCAGCTCTGAGCAGTAGGGCCCCTGTTCAGATCCCACATGAGGGCCAGTGATGCTGCACCCTCTACAACTAAGATGGTGAACAACAGCTCGACCTGGAGCTGGGCTGCCGTGAGGCGACGGCATAGGCTGCAGTGGGGCTGCAGTGGGCTGCCTGTGAGCTACCATGAGTGGTTGTTTAATGGCTGACGAGTGACTGCCTCACCCGGGAAGAGTGCAATGATCACAATACCAACATGGGCCAGTGAAGCGACGTCCTCCACAACTAGACTGAAGAACAAAAGGACAGCAACTTGTCTGTTCCCCTTCCCTGATTCCCCAACACTGTTCCCTCCCCCAATTCCCCAATAAAATCTTTAAAAAAAAATTCTGGGACTCTTATTTGAGAAAAATACATATTTTCATATTCTAAATGGCAAATCTTGTAGTCTGTTCTGTTAATTGAGTTTCTTACCTTCCAACATTTCGAGCTTTTTTACTGTATCGGAGATTATATGTTCTTTTCTGAATTCCAAATTGATATGTAGTTCATGTACATAAAAATATATATTAATCTCCTTTATGATCTCTGCAACCCAAGGTTTTCTTGAAAACCAGTTTTGTTTCCACAGTTGTTTCTTGGTGATTTTATGAGATTGTTTTCTATCTTTAGTCCACTATTTTTGTCAGCGTTCCAAACCCCTTAGGTGTTTCCGTATGCTTGACTGTATGGACCATCTGCTTGGTAAGAACCTGCATTTGTAATGGTGAGCTGCAGGGCCCTAGTTTACGTCTGTTACATCAAGTTTGTTAAATGTGCTCAAATCTTAGAAGCTTAACTTCTGCTTAATATGATCGTGGATGTATCTTTTAAAAATGTTTATAACAACAACATGTAAATGACAAAACTTTCAACATATATAACATAATGTCTCAAACTTAAAAATCTCAGCTTAGTTTTTCCACCACATGAACTGGACCCTGCTGACCATGTTAGAAGCACTGTCCAGTGGCATTCCATCCTCCCCAGGTGGTGTCCATCACCACCGTCCATGTCCACGAGCTCTTTAGCCTTTGACAATGAACTTGAACAACAGAAATTAAACAGTAGCGGGCCCCCCCCCTTACCCACACCCACACCCTAAATGTTTCCTTTTTACCTTGTAATGTTGTTTTGATTTGGATGTTTTTAAGGCCATGTTAGGTTCAGAATCCCTCCTTTTATCCTTGTGAAGTGATTGTTTCCGGAAACGCTCAGCTCATGTTCCAGCCTGACCTTCCTGAGTCTCGTTGCTGCCGAAGGCTCCTTAGTCTTTGCCAGCTTTCCTGTGTCTTGGAAACAACGTAGTTTTGAAAAGATTGAGTTTTAGTGAAATTGAGGTGTGGGATGTACACCTTAAACCTACAGTGTTGGATGTCCAGTGTATCTCAGTAAAGCTGGAAAACAAAACAATTTAATTGTAGACCACCTTTAATCTTTATAGTTATTGTGTTTATTGAAGCATTTGAGTTAAGTGATTTACTTTGTAGACATTTAGAATTATCACAAAATTATTTTTTTGTGGTGAGAACATTTAGATACGGCGTCTTGGCAGCTGTGAAGCATAAATACAGTACTCGTGACTTGTAACCCTGACGTCCGTACAGTAGAGCCCAGAGCGTGTTCATCTTACAACTGCCAGTCTGCGCCCTTGGGCCAGCATCTGCCCAGTTGTCCCAACCCCATCCTGGTGACCATTCTCTCTGCTTCGGGGGCACCAGTGCACTGAGAGCCTGCAGTGCTCGTCCTTCTCTGACTTAGCTCACTTAGAGTAGGGCCTTCCTCACGTGGCTTTTCGACCAGTGTTTGTCCTTCGTTTCCGCAGCATGCCTGCTGTCCTTCCTGCCACCCAGACAGCGCCCTGGAGCGCTGCATGACTCCCCGACGCCGAGAGGGCCTGAAAGTGAATTGACCCTGTAGGTTGGAGTATTTTTTTATTCAGCCTTAAAATGGAAGGAAATCCTGCCATTTCCTTTTGCAACAACATGGATGAACCTAGAGGACGTCATCATGTTAAGCGAAATAAGCCAGACAAATACTGCATAATCTCGCTTACTATGGGTAGAACTCACAGAAACAGAAGAGCTGTTATCTGGGGTTGGGGAAGGGAAATGGGGGGATGTCTGTCAAAGGGCCCAGACTAACTTTAGTTATGAGTAAGTTCTGGCCACTTAGCGGGCAGCATGCTGACTGTAGTTACTTACTACCGTCTGCTTGACGTTTGCTGAAAGAGATCTCAACAGTTCTCACCGTCAGCAGAAACTGTGTGTGTGAGGTGGTGGCTGTGTGAGTAAGTTGGTCCGGGTAGTCGTCTCACGACCAGACACCGTGTTGTGTTGTGCTACACGCCTGGACTATAATGGGTGCTGTCCCTCCAGGTTCTGTCAAGTCTGAAAACGACGGAGCTGAGCCTGGTCTGTGTCCGTCGGCTCTGGACGGTGGCCTCTAATTCCTCTTGTCTTGGCCTCCTGGTTATCTGTGTTTTACCTCCTTCCTCTGCCACATGTACTTTCCTGGATAATTTCCTCAGGTCTCACACCCCCATATCATCTGCTCTAGAGTTCTGTCTAATCTGCTTTTAAATCCCAGTGGCCATGTGAATAACAATCTCATTATTTTGGGTTCCCTTCAGACCAGCAGGTTGCGTGCACCCCTCTGCCCCTGTGTGGCTCCCACTTATTTTCTGAATACTTAATTGCGTGCTCCCCTTCAGGTGGTTCTTATTCCCCATTCCCGGAGCTGCTCTAGCTCTTAGTCTTCCGATGCTTTTCTTGTATTAGACTTTGATTGTCAGCTCTCCTCAGCAGGGATTGTGTCTTCTGCTGGACTCTGCTGGAATTGTGACTTGGGTTGTAGCGATACTTAATTCTCCAGTGCAGCTTTGTTTGCTCACTGTCCTGGGGTGCTGTTTGAGGTTTTGGGGAGAACGTTACAGGTTAATGAAGGTAATGAGGCTTCATGTTCTCAGAGGGGCCTCTTTCCCTCTTGTTTGCAGTTCATGGGAAAGAGTTTTTCTTGACCCCCTTGGAGGAGCCGAAATCTCCAGGCGCCTCCCTACTCCTCCAGTCCCCGTTCACCAGCCATTCTTGGCCTAATTCACCACTTGTTTCCCCCACTTGAGCCTCTTTCCTGGTAGCTCAGCAGTCTTTTCAATGGGTGTGTTTGATTTTATTTGACATTTCTAGGTATCTTGAGGTGGTGGTGGTGGGGATGGGGGTGTGTGGTTTCTGTTTTGGTCCATCCTGTGGTGTCGGTTTCTTGCTTTGGGGCCCCAGACTGGTACTTGGACCTTCACATGGAGCCCCTCGTACGCGATGGGGGAGGGCCCACAGGCAGCCCGTGTGCACGTGTGTGGAGCTGACCGTGGGCTGCTCCCCGCAAGGAAAAGGAGAAACAGTGCGACTGTGCGTCTTGTTTTGAGAAATGGAGCAACTCCTGGCTATGGTGCCATTTAACCCGGGTGTGTTCAGCCTCAGCAACACGGCCTCACGAAACTCATGGCCTCGTGTCTTCGTTTATCATCAGAATATTTCTTTTTAAAATCTGAACTAGGGTTCTGTTGAGGCTACGGGAAGCCTAGTTTCAGTTTTGGGCACAGTGGCTTCACGGAAAAACTCCCTTATTGGGTGAAGTTACTTGGTACTGTTGTGTGGAGTAGGCCTGTTGGATATAAGTGTTTGGTTACTTAGTAAAGGGATGTAACGAATCAGATTAAAAAAGCAAATTCATTAGACTGCACATCTTAGGGAAGCGGCACATGTAGTTCCTTTTTGGGTGGGCAGGGGTTTTCCCTGTTCTGTCTCGTGAAGTGACGCCATAACCCTGCAGGAAGAGCAGTCCCTGGCGAAGCACTGAAGGCATGGTTGCGGGGAGACCGGCTACTTAGTGCTGGGCAGGGAAGCGACACGCACAGCCCTTAGTCCAATCTCTTTGTCTCTTGGGGACGGGAGGCTGAGGTGCCTGTGGTCCTGCGCTGCGTTTCCTCAGGGCGGGGACACTGTTTCCTTCCCTGATCACAAAGGGCCGGTCTCAGCCACCTGCTGGCTCCATTTAGTTATCGTTAAGCCATTTCAGAACTTTTTCTTGTACCAGGAAGGGCCTGAGGGCATGAATCTTGTCATCAGTCCCAGACAAGGCCCCAGCCCAACAGGCTAGTTGGTTGGTGCTGACGTCCCCCTCCATCTCCTGCGCTGTCCCCACCCCACATGGCCCCGACCCTGGCAGTGTTGTCATTGACCATGGCTTTCTAATTGCAGGACCTGTCCCGACAGCCGTTAAAACATGGTGGATTACTATGAAGTCCTGGGCGTGCAGAGACACGCCTCAGCCGAGGATATCAAAAAGGCGTAAGTACCGCGTTTCTGAGTAAGAAGCCTGCAGCTGTGCACTGGGCACGGGCAGCCTCACATTTTATGTTGCCCACTAACGTGTGTCTAATGTAGTGGAACAGTCTTTGCTTGAACGCCCCGTTTAATTTTCACTTAACAAATGAGCTTTTGTCTTCTCAGAGCAGCCCAGCCCATCGCTTGTCACTTGGGGATACGGTCACATTGTTTCCTCTGGTACTTGGCCTTGGAACAGTGGCTTCTGTTTCTGCTGGAAGTAGATCAGACTGGGATGTGAAGTAATCCCCAAGCCAGGCCAGTGGACTTGGAAGTGGGGCTGAGCTGGCCCCACAGAGCATGGTGCCCTAACGTCCTTGGTGTGGTTGCGTAAAAATCCCTGCCAGGCGACCCCAGCCTGTTAGACTCTGGCACGTTAAATTGTCCTACCTGTACCTTTGTGACCAGGGCCTGGGCCATCAGAGGGTTAAGTCTTGGGTCATAGGCGGCTGTTACGGTGAACTGAATCTGTTTAATTCACTTGATGTTTAATGTATATTGAAAAACGTCCTTAGATGGATGTTAGAGATTTTTAGCATAGCTAGAGAGGCTCATCAGTAAGCCCGAAGTGATTAGAACTTGGGCTTCAGTTTGTGTTGTTGGAGCCAGCTTTTTAAATAACACACAGTGAGTCTATGCTACTAGACTTAGTAGGTCTGCGGGTGGAAATTGAGGGGTTTTGAACCAAACAGTTCATTTCAGTGCTAAAACTAATAGCAGCTTGACTGCACGCTGGGCGTACCTGAAGCTGCTTGTAGAGCTACATCCAAATGTTACAGCTCAGAGCAGGGCCAGGAAACTGAGGAGGTGGAGCCAGTAGGCTGAGTCACCAGTGGCTGTGCGATTTCTCCCACCCATCACAGTTCACAGCCAGCACTAGCTTTGTGCACTTGGAGATGGTGACTTGCATAAACACGATATGTGCACAATATTTAGTAACTGAAGGGAGAACATGCCTCCTTATGTCGGATGCAGTACGAAGTGGGCGGGTGTAGCTACCTGTGAGGACGTGGCTGGGTCAGTGTCTCCAGGGTGACTCTGAAGGACGGATTTAGAAAATGCTGTTTCTTTAAAAAGAACAAGGTTTTCCCATTGTGGGTGCCGTTGAATAACTTGACTAGACTAGATTTTGCCTCATTTACTTTTGATGAGTAGAATGGCAGCTAGGGATGGTGCATATCCTTAGAACAGTCCATTTTATGGACTCTGGCTTCGTTTGGTTTAAAGACTAAAGGTGTGTGGCTGTTTCCTCCTTCCTTCTGAGAACACACACGGTCCTCCCTGTGTTTGAGTCACAGGCCTCTGAGTGCTAGTCTTCACTCCTTGGTGCTAAAGTGCCAGTGAAAAGTCTGAAGGGCAAAGTTGACAGAAACTGGACACTTAACCTTACTGCGGTTTGAATCCAAAAGGTCGTCCTTCATAGGCGTGTGCAGGTGAACTCGTCCTGGGCGCTTGCGTACCCTTGGACCGGGCACACCCCTGCAAAGCCAGCTCCTTCTCCTCAGGCTTCTTTGTGGCCCGTCAGTTTCTGTGGAGGGTTTGGAGCCTTGGGGGTTTGGTTCTGCTGCTACACGCCCAGGTCCCCAGTGATGGAAGAGGGAAGTGCTCTTTTGCCATTTCAGGTCCCAGGTTTAATCAGATGTTAGTTAGTTAGGCTGAGGCTGTTGATTAAAATGCTGAAATTAAATGGAACCACAGCAGCCAACTGTTAGAGGACTGTCGTGTTCTTATTCTAGTCTTAGATTTCAAGGGCTATGCCCCTGCGCATTTAATGCCCCCTCTGTTAAATGCGGGTTGCTTTTATTTAATTAGAAGAGGAAAGGGGGTTTTGCACTTAAAGAGCATGTGATTATGTTCATTGGAACCTTGGTCATAGAATCTGGAAACCCAGAAGGGGAGGTTTGGGGAAAAACATGGAATTCTTGGCGTCCTGTGGCTGAGACGGCCCACCTTTGCCACGCTGTCATGTGGACTTGTGGGCTGGTGAGAACGCCCTGCTGCTCAGCCGGGTCCCTCTGAGCTCACTGCACACCGGGCCTCAGGCTCTTAAGCTTTCCTGTCTCTCCAGGTTGGCAGTGTCATGTTCTCTAGGTTTGAGAACTTATTTCATCTGGGGGAAAGGAAGGTTTTATCATTGAAACCAATGTTAACCCCACTAGTTTGCAGCTCTGAAGCCATTTTCTTGCCCAGTTACGTTCCAGAGCCCATTGTATTTGGGGATTTTGGTTGCGATCAATACCCTTTTTCCCTATTCAAGATACCGGAAACTGGCACTGAAGTGGCACCCAGATAAAAATCCTGAGAATAAAGAAGAAGCGGAGAGGAAATTCAAACAAGTCGCGGAGGCGTATGAGGTGCTGTCAGATGGTAAGCAGTCCCTCGCCTGGGCCGTGGGGTGGGCGTGGCTGCTGGGCCTGGGCGCTGAGGACAGTCTTGACTTCTCTTGTGAAGACCTGACTCCCGTGTTCCTGGCTGCCGCTCGGTACAATTAGCCGTGAGTGCTGCGAGCTCCCTGGTTTCTAGTGACTTCTCCCAGGATGGCCGTTACAAACAGTGCTGCACGCTGATCTGGGGACCGATAGCACAGAGGATGGCCTGGGACCTCTGGGCCGCTCGCTGTGCAGGGTGAGGCGGGCGCCCGAGTCGGGCTGTAGTGACCCCCCAGGTCCATCGCCCTCTTACACGTGCTTGCTAGTACATTGCTTTGTACTGTGCCAGAGCACCTGCTTAGTCTAAGGAGGTGAGGAGTCGAGCCTACAGCTGTGGTTGCGACTTGTAGGTGTGCTTCCTCCACCCAGACCTAGAGCACAGATGCTGGAGGCTGTTGGAGGTCAGATGCGTTGGCCTCTTTCCCTGGGTTATGCAGGAGCTGGCTTCTAGTGGGTCACTTGGCAGGTTCTTGGGAAGAGGAGGACAGTGTGGAACTTTGTCTGAAAACTGGGTACCAGCCGGCAGCACCCTGCCAGGAAGCAGTGCTGGGTGACCTGGCGTGGTCAGGGAGAGTTGTTTGAAAGGTCAGGGGCTGCTTCACCCACCTCAGGAGTGGACGCTTGGCTCTCAATCCCATGGTGTCTCCATAGGGTCGGGGGTCACTGTTGAAAGACAGTTTTGATTTTGGAACGAACTCCATTTAACCATCACCCCATGCCAGCAGTTAACACACGACCACCCTTGTTTTATCTGTCACCACCCTCCGCCCCTTATTAAAGGTGGGCCCAGACATGTTTCACAAGTAACTTTTGTTACCTATGAAAACACGTACACACTGACTGCTACAGTCTTACTAAAATGCAGCACCTGGGCTCTTAAAATGCCAGTCAGCCTTCTGAGCTGGGCAGACCCCGAACACCACGGGAAGCGGTGTCTTGTTTGTGTGCTCACCTAGGAGTCCCCGGATTGTGGGACACATCGACCAGGACGTTTGAAAAGCTGAGTACTAAACCCAGAAAGACGTTGAAACTCCCATACAGACAGATGTTATCCCCACCTTGGCTTGTGAGGGCATGTGCGTTTTTCCTGGTGTCTCGTGCAGCCTTCAGCCCTAGCTGGGCTTTTGGGAGCTCCCTTCTCGGGCACAGTTGCTGCTCTTACTCAGCTCTGGTTAGCAGAAACCGGCCGGGAGGCATTTGCCGTTTTCCTGATAACCCGTCTTTTGACTACACGATTTCGTAGAACATGAGATTTGGGGGAACATGCGATTTTTAATCTAAAGAAGCTACCTGTCTAAATAGGGCTGCGTCGTAGTTCTTTTTACTCTAGACCATAGGTGGTGAAAGGACAGGACGGCAGCTCATTGTGGGCTGTTGCCCAGCAGGGGGCTGAGCCTGGAGGCTCGGCTTGGCCTTTCTGCCCTCACTGGGGCCCTGTCCTGTTTGCGGGCCACAGACCTTTTGCCCAGTTGGACTTGGTAGGAGGAAGGTGCACTTTGTGGTGTGATTTTAATGTAGCATGCAGGGGCTCTGGGGGCAGTAGAGTGAAATAAGTATTTTAATGTTTATAATCACATTTTAAACTTCACAACACAAACATTTTTATGAGTTGTTTTTAAGGAGAGATACTTAGGTTTTCCCTCTCTGCCTTTTCATTTAAAGGGGTAGGCTTCACTCCTTTAAACAAATTGTGAGAACTGAGAACCTCATTTGTCTTTGATTTACAACTTTGGGAATACTTTATTGAATTTTGAGGGGAAAAGAACTTGGTCTTTATTGACTTTTCTTTTTAAATTTATAGCTAAAAAACGGGACATCTATGACAAATACGGCAAAGAAGGATTAAACGGTGGAGGCGGAGGTATGTCAGTGGGTTTTTCTTTGTCTGCCCCTGTGCCTTGTGGGAGTCAGGCTCTGGCAGCAAGAGGTCTCGATGGGGGTTGGATTCGTTAGCCCTTGGACAGTTGTGTTTCAGCAAATACAGATGCAGCTTTGCAAACAGGCTGAACTGGGGAGAGGAAGGCGGGATTGATAGCATTTGAAAAGCCGACTAGAAATCTTGTGTTAGACTAGAAGTCTTGTGTTGATTTGTAGATAGGAAATAACTTACAACCTTACAATAATGTATTGTGAATTTGTGCCCCTAGATCAGTGCCTGGTATTATGTCAAAATATCAAAACCAGATTCTAGAAAAACTGAAATAACTGCCTGGGGTGGTGAGGCCTGGACATGTGTTTCTGAGGAAAAGTTCCTGTAATTGTGTGCTGTCCCCCGAGCCCCTCAGTGGGCATTTGGAAAGAATGCCCCACACCGACCACAGACAAGTGTGGGAGCGGCTGTTCACAGGCTTGGTTTCCACGAAGTGACATAACAGAAAATAAAATAGGGGTGGCCCATTTAGACGTGCTGTGAGACATTAGTGCCGGGGGGCTACAGTGGGACCCTGGACGCTGAGTCAAGTCCAGGCGCTCGGCACCAAAGTTCAGTCAGCGCTGGGCGTACTTGGAATGCCCCAGCCTCAGGCTTGTGAGATACTTTCTGTCTTTAGGTCATGATTTCTCTCCTGTAGGCATGATTGTTTGCCTGCTAAACACAGGAATTCATAAACTAAGACTGTGCTCTGTTCATGTAGGTGGAATTCATTTTGACAATACTTTTGAGTTCGGCTTCACATTCCGGAACCCAGATGACGTCTTCAGGGAATTTTTTGGTGGAAGGGACCCGTTTTCATTTGACTTCTTCGGTAAGTTCATCGTCTGGGCTGTCATTTACTTTGGTGTCGCCACGCCTCACAGGGAAAGTGGTGATGCCTTTTCTGGTGTTTGGGGTTGGTTGGCAGAGCTCGTCGTGCCCATGGATTGCGAGTGTTTCCCTGTTCTGAGGGCTGCTGTGAAGTTCCACTTTGAAACTAGAGTATAGAAGGGTGTTTCCTTTGTTGGAAATGCCCCTGATGCCTAGATTTTTTGGTCCTTTTTTGTGCCACTTTTTCTGTGTGCCGGGGGCTGGGGGAGGGTGGGTTACTAGTGTGAGGCCATATAGGCCTGAGGTCATGGCTGCAGGCCTGTCCTGGGGGTGTCCTCGTGTTTTCTGAGACGTCTGTCCTCTCCAAGGTGACGGGCAGGGTGGGAGCGGTGGTGGCCATGGGGTGGTTTGGCTTCTGCACTTTGACTTGGTGTGGGCATCTGATTTGAGTTGGTTTCTCTTCACTGTTAGGTGGTGGTGGTTCTGTCAGATACTGAATCTTGGTAAAACTTAAAATGTGGGTGTGGATTTAAACATCTTCCACACTGAGGTATTTTTTAAGGCTTTTGGGGTGTGTGTGTGCAGGCAGACGTTGGTTTTGTGCTCATTTTATTTCACACCATTCAGCTCAGTGTGTAGTTTGTTGAAGTTGGACGTTGCTATTTAGGCTGTTGATAAGTTTAGTACAGTTACCATATCCGTGGGGGACACCTTCCAAGACCCCAGTAGATGCCTGAAACTGCACATAGTACCAAACCGCATATGTAATATGTGTTTTCCTACATGGACACACCTCTGATAAAGTTTGATTTATAAATTAGGCACAGGGAGAAAGTAACAGGAACTAATAGCAGAACAATTATGACAATATGCTGTAATAAAAGTTTTGTGAATATGGTCTCTCTCAAAATATGTTATTGGACCATCTTACAGCTTGGAGACAGATGCCGGCCAAAGGGACGGTTCATGTCCTGAGGGGGACGGAGTGAGTGTTCATCATACTTCTCAAAACAGCACACAATTGAAAACTTACAAATTCTTTATTTCTGTAATTTTCCATTTAATATTTTCAGACCACTGTTCACCACAGGTAACTGAAACGGTGGAAAGTCAAACCTCAGATATGGGGAGAGGAGGACTGTACCTTGCTAGTATCGTGGACCCCGGAAAGGATTGGGCTTAGTATTTTTGAGCGATAGCAAGATCTTAAAAAAAGTTTTAAAGATATGTTTGATACATGATGCATAAAACACTGAAATGAAAGTGATGTCATAATATAGACATGTGTCTGTTTCCGGTAAGTTTGTATCTCAGGAGACTTAAGTTGTGTTAAGGTACGAACACCTGCCTAAGGAAACCTGTAAAATGGTGAAGGATACGGTCTTTTGTCTTCTAAAGTCCGTATTAGGGTTCTCCGGAGAGAACCAGCAGGGTCGGTCTCTCTGTCTGTCTGTCTGTCTGTCTGTCTGTCTGTCTCTCTCTCTCTCTCTCTCTCTCTCTCTCTCTCTCTCTGTCTGTCTCTCTCTCTGTAAGTGTTAGTTTCATTCGAAACACCCTCAGACATACCCAGAACATATTTGGGCACCCTGTGGCTCCTTCAACTTCACACACAAAATTACCCATCCCAAGCCTGCCCCTTGTCAGCTTGGTACCCATACTCATCATCTCCTTAAAGTGTACTCAGTCTCTTATGTACAGACAGTAGCAAAGCCATCATCGTGCCTGACAGCTGTCACTCACCCTTCCCCAAATAGGAGGTGAGGGCCTTGACTCCACTCTTGTCCTAAGATGTTTGCTTAATATTTATAGATCTGTGTGCACAGACCGTCTGCACAATAAAGGAGGAGGTACTCGCGGCCATCACAGTCCTCGTGGCTATGACGGTCCCGCAATCGGAGCTGGGTGTAGACCTGCCACCCCCTCTCCTTTCGCTCTCAGCTGGCACCTCGGCTGGTGGGGGAGGAAAAGAGCTAGGTGGCACATTTGGTTATGTTCACGTGTCGTAACTAAAATTTACTTCTGAAATATAAATGCAATGTTTGTCCTTCAACCTCAAAAATAATACAAAGTGCAGGCTCAGTGTAAGAATTTGGAAGACAGACACAAGGTGAAAGGCGGCGGGGAGGGGTCAGCCTCTGTCTTGCCTCCAGGTGAAAGCCCACTGTTAACAGTCTCGGGCGTTATGGTTGTGAAGTGCACTCACTCATACACGTGTGTGCTGCCTTTTCCTGAAGCTCCAGCTCCATGACCCTGTAAAACATGCACCTACCATCTCCTCCTCTAGTGGAAAAGGAGGTTAGTTCTCACTAATGCTTTGAACTCGCTTGGTGTAGTGAGTTACTTTCATATTTGAGATGAGTTGGTTTTCCTAAAATAGAATGGCTGAGTTTGAAGGATTTAAAAAAATTATATTTAATTTTGGGGCTGAAGATTTTAGAAGCTCATGATACATACTCCCAAATTGCTTTTAAAAAGGGCAAAAACCAGTAACAGCCAGGGATTGGAGGCTCTTACTTACTAAGGATTTGTCTAGCCTCAGCAGTGGCAACTTTTAACAACACATAAGCATGAGCAAAAAAAGGTGTTTGTTACAGGTGGCATCTTTTCATTTTCAGGGTTAACTTCTGTGACCTTTAATATTTGAAATTATATGTTAAAATTCAGTGAATACCTGAATTGTAGAAAGTTGTATTTAGGTTACATAATATCAACAGAAAAATAAGCAAGATAGATTTTTAAAAATGATATAAGAAAACGTAACTGAAAAGACACTGGCCTTGTTCTCAAAACGTACTTCTAAACCAACTTTTAAAATAGCTTCTAAAGAAGGTGTTTTTATAATGATGAAAGTGTTAGTTTAACTTAGTATATAAACCTTTTAGAACTGCTTGTTTAATTTGGTGTCACACAGACACTGTTTTAAGTTGCACTCAAAAGACTTACAAATAACATCTAAGGATTTAGTTTCTGTAGGAACCTAAGACATTATAACCAGTCTTTCTAGCAGTGATACCAGTGATCCACGCATGGGGAGGAAAAGTCGGAAGCTGGCCCTGTGTATCCTTGGTGGCTGGGTTGCTTCGGGGAGAGGGAGAGAACTGTTACACAGTGGGTTTCACTGGAATGGTCCATGCCTTCACCGCGGTGCTTGGTGTATGAGTTACTTACCCACTGCCTGTAGATCTGACTTCCAGAGCATTTAACTCGCATCCGGGTGTCTAGGCCATGGGAACAAGCTAACAGGTGACTTACTAGGTGCCTGGATGTTATTTGAATAGGTTGAAGTCTGCAGAAACCCACGAAATGTTACTAGCGTTAGATAAAGTTTATGATGAAGATCTCCTGTTCATATTTCTCAATATGATATTGGGACTTGTAAGCCCTGTATATTACAAAGTAGCTTATAAATGCATTTCTTAAAAAAATTTTAAAGGCTGGAATTTACTGCGGAATGCGGGAACTGAGTTGCAAACTCGGTGAAATTTGGGGCTGTCTTCTTGCTGATAGTAGCCCTCCTCATCCATTACCCTCTGTGACCCACACCCCCTGCCGCCCGCCCACTGGGGGCTGCCTCACAATTGCACATTCCTTCCTCCAGCGCTTTGTACTTTCTAAAACTTTAACAAGCCATTCGGGAGCTCCTGGGTAGTTAGGTTGGACGCTTCCTTCTCCAGGCCAGTGTTCCTGCTCTGAGCAGTAGGTGAAGCGGATGGACTGGTGTTCATTAGGAATAGCTCTCCTCTGGTTTCCGCCCCGCTCTCAGCGCTCCTGCGGCTGCCTGGGCCTGGCTGGCAGCCACGCATCCCTCCTGGATGCAAGGCACCAGGCGCACTTACCATACTGTCCTTTCAGAACTGGCCAGTTACGCAAGGTGCTGTGTGTCAGGTCGCTGCTTACTAACCTGTGTTGCATCTGGATCTCAGGTTCTGCTCGGTGTCAGTGCTCAGAATGGGTTCCTTTGCATTCATCTGTCGTCATCTTTCCCTGCTCAGGTGGCTTATGAACTCCCTGCTTCCATCACTCCTGGCCTGTCGTAAAAGCACGCCTCACTAATTCTGCAGCCTGTGTCAGAGCTGCTTTTCTCCTCCTGCATTCATTTCTGTCTTAACCATCCATCAGGATTCCTTTTTATTTCTCAGAGAATTCCTATTTCCCTGAAAAAATACAGCACTGATTAATTGCATACATCAGTAAAATTTGTATAATTCATGTTTCCAGTAAGTGCTCATTGGTAACCAAAAAAACCCCTAATGTCAGGGCTAATCTTATTATATTTTCAGGAGCATTTTGGTATCTCCAGTAGCAGTATGACTCCTACCTACTGGTGTTAGTAACTTTCTATTAAAATAAAATGTTATGCCTACAGTTAACATTTATTCACATTTAATGTCCACTGAATCTTCAAAAAGTTCTTGAGTTGTCAAGTTTACAGAAAAGGTAAAAGAAATTCTCAAACATCCATGGCCCAGAGTCACCAGCTGTTAAATTCTGCCTCATTTGCAGTAACAGTCCCTGTTACAGATAAATGTTGAAGCCCATTTGGTGTTTTTCTGAATTACGGTGGAGAAGGCAGCCTAGTCTGCATGAGCTGCAGCTTCCTAAGAGCCTACGTGTGAACCAGCCCATCTTGGCCTCTCCCAGGGGCCGCTGGGGCAGCATCTGCCGCACTCTCAGTAAAAGGCTGCATGAAATAGCTCCCTGTCCTGGCTGGAAGCGCATGTAAGCAATCTACCAACAGTCTGGGGACTTATTCCCTAATGTGCCCTCCCTTTAGTTGAATTAAACGAGTGAGCGAGACTCCTGGACTTTCCCGTGCTCTGTAGGCACGCTACATTATTATAACGTCTTGGTAAGTTTTTGTTCTTAGTGGAATAATAATATAAGGCATTAACCTTATTGCAGCTCTCCCATGAAAAAATAAAGTTGAATAAAGATTTTACAAAATGCATCTGTTTGTTTTTAGAAGACCCATTTGACAACTTCTTTGGGAACCGGAGGGGACCCCGTGGGAGCAGGAACCGAGGCACAGGGTCGTTCTTCTCTACCTTCAGTGGGTTCCCGACGTTTGGAGGAGGGTTTCCTTCTTTTGATGCAGGTATCAAGTCCTTTGATTTATTCTTGGGGATCCGAACAGCAGTGCAGTTGGGGCAGCCTGGGTGCATGTCCTCCTCCTGGTGCAACAGCCTTGTTAGATGTGCCAGTATTTTCTCTGTTGACAAATTTGTCCTACCGCATTTTTTCTAACCTTCTCAAGGACAGTATACTTTAAAAGCCGTTTTTACTCTATTAAACAGAAAAGTTCCTAGTTAAACGGAGGAATGTGGTTTTCGGTAAATAACTGCAAAGTCACCCACTTAGACAATCTTACTAAATCCTGTTTTATCCAGCCTCCTTGGCACTTAAAACACACATGGAGGCTGTGTCGTCTAAGAGAGTCCAAGTTGATGAATGCAGAAGGTGGGGCTGTAATACAGCCACGTTCTGTTACCAGGGCCAGGCTGCGCCCATGAGGGAGGTGTGATCGGTGGTGAATGCCCAGCACGTGCGTAGTGGGCCGTGGTCTGTGCTGAGGCACTGTGCCAACTGCTGGGGTGTGCACGTGGCACGACAGAGTTGTGCGTTTACCCGAAGAATTAGTCTTCCGTTGCAGCTTGTTTTCCCTGCTTCTCATTTTTATTTTAGACGTTCCATGGTGAGAATTGGCGGCAGTGCTTTGTTCTACAGGCTGTCCTGTGTTCCCCCCTTCAAATGGGGTGCTCATAACGTCTAGAAAAATGATTCTTTTGATTGGATTTCAGTAAACACAATTTTAGATGTAGTTTTCTCCCACAAAGCCTCTCCTTAGATACCACGTGTTATGCTAAAGGTAATATGCTAGAGTTTAAGGGGGAGTAAAAGACAGCTGGTTAAAAATACCAAGAAAATAGCACTTCATTTAAGAAGTGTGTGGCTTGCATGAGGTGTGCATGTGGGGACACAGGCCTCCCTCACCCTGAGGAGCCTTGTGAAGTGTCACGTGGCTCCGGGCTCGCTCTGGACCTGTGCTGTCCCGTATGGGGACCGCAGCTCCATGTGGCCGGGCCGCACGGAGACGTGCAGCTGTGACACACACACTGCAAGGCACTGTCACCGATGAGAAAGTTTCTGTCCTGCATGTGGCAATATTGTGGGTATTGTGGACTAAATGAAACGTATTGTTCAAATAGTTTTGCCAGTTGCTTTTCATTTTTTAGTGGGGCCATGAGAACGTTTAGAATGACATTTGCTCCCATTCCGTTTGTGTTGGATGTCACTAGCTCTAGACAATAGAAGAGCTAGATGATGGAGTCATGCCTAAGGGAGTGTGGGGTTTAGTTTTAAAGTGCACAAGGACTTTACCTGACAGCCTCGTTGTCAGAGTTTGTTTACGTTCGTGTGACTTGTAGAAATCAGGTTTGGAATGTCCGTGGTGTGACTACCATGGAGCTGAGAGTGGTGTCCGTGAACTGTAGATCCCTACTTTTTCAGGTAGTTACTGGAGGTTCTTAATAACTCAGATTTTTATCCCCTGTGGTCACGCTGCGAGGACGGGGAGGGGGATCAGCAGGCTGGGCTTGCCATCCTGTGGTGGTGAAGTCACTGTTCCCATGAGAGAAAGAAGCACGGTGCCCGCCCAGTCTCGCCATGGTGCATGGTGCCAGGTTCATCACCTATAAATAGGGTGACATGCCAGTGAGATCCAGTGAGCTCAGTGTAAGGGGAGACGGAAGGTGACTGCAAAGCACAGACGGCTGTCCCTCTGCTCCCTGGGCTCAGGGTCTTGCCTCTGCCCCACAGCTCTGCCATAGCTGCCTTGGTGTCGCCTCCATGGTTGGGCCCATTTCTGTCTTCGTGGGCCACATGGCTGACATGAGATGTCTGCCTCGGAGTTGTGCACTGAGTCCTGGACCTACGAGTCTGATCTCATTGTCCCCTTCTCCCACAGGGTTCACTTCCTTCGGGTCACTGGATCACGGGGGCCTCACTTCATTCTCCTCCACGGCGTTTGGTGGTGGCGGGATGGGCAACTTCAAATCAATATCAACGTCCACGAAGATGGTCAACGGCAGAAAAATCACCACAAAGAGGTACAGTGGGGCCCGTGTTTCATGGTGCCGTGAGCCATCACTGTTATTGGGGCCCTCACCCCCAGGGTGACGTGGACGGGGTGTGCGCACCTGACCCTGGGAGCCTGCTCCTCAATCTCCAAATTAGAGCTTTTCTTTTTAAATCTTTGCTTAATGTTAAATACTAGAAGTAATGTTTATTTAGAGGCATTTTTAATACACAACACTGCAATAACGAATAATAAGTTTTGCTGGTACCGTTAGAATGGTACATGGAAAACCGGCCACAGTAAAACCCGGACCATTTTGATCACAGCATGTGCGTGTATTTCCGGTTCATCTGTAGAATACTTGGGACAAGACATATGTCAGAATAAATCCATTTGAAAAAAGGTTTATTGTCAGTAGGTTGCCATCAACTATGTTTTTCAGCCTCAAAATCAGTGGCCCATGTGTGTCTATGGCAATTACATCCTTTGAAATATGCATATACATTTACACATGCATTTACTTCAAAAACAAGTTCTAAAATGCATTTTACCCTTCAGAATTATCGAGAATGGTCAAGAAAGAGTGGAAGTTGAAGAAGACGGCCAGTTAAAGTCCTTAACGATAAATGGTAAGGAGCAGCTGCTTCGCTTGGATAACAAGTAACTCAACGCAGGCGCGTAACAGAGGTGTTACTGTAACACCCTATGAGGACTAACAGGAACCGTTTTTGAAGATTTCAGACGAACTCGACTTTCAGTATAACATACCTGATCTAAAGTATTTATACCCAGCTCGTCGGAGCCCTGTTGTCATAGATGTTTGATTTATTGTTGGGACCACATGATAGGACCATTTTTTGTCTTTAAAATTGTTGTAAATCTCTGTATGCACTTTGCTTTTTTACTAACCGTAATCCAAGGTGACCGTGATTTCCATACACTAACACCAGCACGGACCTGCTTCCCATTGTCTGAAACGTGAGCCACGTGGTGTCAGCCTGCTGTGAAGTTAGCATTGCCAGACGACTCGCCACCGAAATAATTTCAGTTTTTTTCAGTTTTAGTAATGAAAGATATAAATGCATTAATGGTAATACATTTCTGATTTAATATAAATTGAGGATGTTTTCTAGTTGTGCATGAATGCTGGCAACGTAGTAAGTTTTGACAATTGTTTAAATATGTAATGTTAAGCTTAGGTTTAAAAAGTAAAGTTGGTAAACTGGGTCTTTTGTCATTTGCTTAAAAAAAAAAAATAAATGCGAATGTGTTTGGTGCATTCTTCCCTGAGTGGGATCTGTAGCCTTCTTGTGTCCGTGTGATTCTGTGCCTGGTCTCCCTGTCGCTCCCTGACTGTGCCGTGTTCCCAGAGGTGCATCTGAACTTGATCATGTGTGTGTTTTCCTCTGTGTGTGAAGATCCTTCTGTTGATGTTAAATAATGATGCGCGGCTCTTGGAGATTTTAACATGGAACCCTAACGTTTCTCCGGGAGGGCAGAGACAACTTAGACAGGTTTTGTTCTTCACAGTATGTTCTAGTTTTCTAGCTTCTGTTCGATCCCAGCTCGTTTAAAGGCTGCACAGTAACGTCATGGAGTGATAGAGATGTGGGCCAAAATAAAAGCGTTTCTTTTGTTTTTCAGTCTGTAAAGTCTCACCGTCACCTCTGAAAACTAGGATTCCAGCCAGAGGAACATTAGACAGGACGTTGACTGTATTTAAACTCCCCCGCTCAGGTTTGCTTTGGAAATAAACAGCGTGAGAACTGTTGGAAGAAGGGGAGGTCCCGAGGACAGTCCCCAGACAGAGCGTTAATGTGGCCTCGTTCCTTGGAAAGCATGTGGAAGAGCATGGCACCCTGGTCTTTAAAGAACCTAATGCCTTACTGTTGAAAACAAGTAACAGGTATTTTTAAAAGTTCTCATAGGAGCTATAAAAGTATCATAAGATTTAAGTATTCAAAGACAGTTGAACTAAGGAAGAGCTGCCTAAATGTTTTGTCTTAGCTCATAGTGCCTTTGGATAAGGGGGTACGTAGGCCCTTCACACCCTGGAAAAAGTGAAATCTATTTCGCAGATTAAAATGTTAGTACCAGAAAGCCTCCTTTCCTTTATGCTACAGGACAGTTGGTGTCTGTTACGTAAGAAGCTCACGTAAATGCCTGGAACGTTTTAAGAGTTTTGTGTTTTCATCAGTGGGTGGGATGGACCATTTGATAGGCTTGTGGTCCCCTAGGGGCACCAGGTAGCCTGGCCCATGCCCTAATCGGTATTTTCCCAGGAAGCATTTCACTAGACCAGGGGTCGGCAAACTTTTGAGACAGAAGAGCCGCCACGCCAGGGGTCAGCAAACTGCGGCTCACAAGCTGCAGGCTCTGAAGTAGAATTGAAAATTATCATAGTTTCATTTATAAAATTTTTAAAGGATATTATTCACATAATGGTGATTATGTAAAAATATATTTATGCCTCTCGAATAATTTTTAAATTGTGAGGGACAGGATTGGCTCTTCCAGGGGTCGGCAAACTTTTGAGACGGAGTGTACCCAAACAGCCACATGTGGCTCGCGAGCCGCAGTTTGCTGACCCCTGCCCTAGAATAACAACCGTGGCTTTAGACACTCGTGAACACACTTGGGTGGTCGAGACTTTGTGTTCAGTGCAACTCCAGCTGTAAACGGTTTACTCAAATTGATGTTACAGGTAAAGATGTTTGACACCTAAGGACTCGGGTGAAATTTTTTGGAGGGGACCATCCCATTTGAGAAAATGGCCTTTGTTCTGCATGTGTGTTGATAGGAGTGTTAATTCCGTTAAGTTTTTAACAGGGTAGAGAACTTTCTGTTTGCTGTCAGACCTTGTGCCTTGAGTTCTGAAAGCCAAGCTACTTGCTGGAGCATTGTGTCCAGTGTGCAGGGAAAGCAGCTCGGAACAGTTAGGCTGCTGTTCCCGGAGTTGGTGGCGTTGCTCATGGAAGGAGCGAGTTGGGAAAATAGCATTTAATCTACACGATAGGTTTCGGTCATTTGTTCGTCCCTGTACTGTCTGTGAGTTGAAGACCTTTCTGAAGCTTTGAACACCTTTGAAAGGAAACCGCTTGCCCCAGACGGTGGGTGTGTAGTCCTGTGGGTCTGGGCCCCACCCCTCTGCCATGTGCTGTCTGTCGTCGGGTGTGCTGTCCCTCTCCTCCTTGCAAGGCAGAGTCTTGAGGGGGCGTCGTTCTGCTGTTCTATCCACTCTGCTGTTTGAAAAGGCCCAGGGAGGGCCAATGGCAGGTCCTCACGGCAGTCAGGCGCACGGACCTCCCAGTGAGTGGCGCTAGCCTGGGCTTGGGAGCGTTGCCACTGAGAGGAGTGGAGCCGGGCAGCACAAGGCCTGTCCCTTGCTGTTTTCTCCCTGCTCTCTTGCAGCCTGTCGGTTGATTTTATGGAACTACTTAGAAGGAGCTGACTGAGCTTTCGAGCTGGTGAGTTACGTGATTTGTGGACAACTTGACTTGTGTCCTTCCATCCAGCCTTCCGAAAACGGAAGGACCTGGTTTGGCGTCAGACCCGCTAGGACTGCAGGCCCCACAAGGGCAGGGGTTTGTTCCTGCTGTGGGGGCTCTGGCACGTGCAGCGCTCCACAGTGCTGGCTGTGTAAACCAGGTTCCGGGTAGCGCCTCTCTGCCATGCCCGGGATGCTGGCTTGTTCACCTGCAGAGCGTGGTCTCCAGTCCCCAAGTATCTGCCAGGAGGGCTCCCGGCGGCTGGGTCAGTGACGTCTGCTTGCACTACCGAACAGTAAATGTTTCTGTTGTGTCTCAGAGTCTCAGCACTGCAGTGGGCTACACACTGGCCTTTTCTAGGCCATTCTCCCCACCCTATCTCCTGCCGCTGCCCTCCCGTGGCTGTGTCCTGATGCTGAAAGGTATTCAAGGCATGGGTAAAAGACAGCGGAAACCAGGAGGCTGATGCAATAGTTTACACTGTGGGATTTTGCTCTTGGCTTCTTCCTGCTGATTCCTGTGGAAAAGCCCAACGGTGGTGCTGGGCCTCTGGCTCAAGCTTTACCCAGGACTTCGGTTGTGTGAGGAGGGCTGGCTGGACCCTGGGAAGCCGTCCATGCCTGTGCCTCCCCGAGGTTAGACTCAGGTTGCCTGTATCGTCTCTGGCTTGGCACGTTGTGTCATGACTGATAGCTTTAAAGTTTTCAGTTATGGCTGGTTTGTGAAGGTTTTCTCTTATCAGTTTGGTGAGCTCTTTTCAACTGAAGGAGTCCCTTCTATTGAGAGCCGGGGGGTTCGGTCAGTCTGTGCTCAGGCCGTCACGCTCGTGCACTCGTTCTAAGAGGACATGGGCCGGTACTTACCTGCTTCACTTAGTCCCCCTGGAAACGGCAGCTGGCAATAGCCTGCAGGCCTCTTTACTCGCCAGTATCGGGCTCTGTTCTTGTTCCCTCTGGTTCTCCTTGTCTGCTGTGCTTCAGACTTGCAGCCTCTTTTCACAAATTGAGTTTTTAAAATTACTTTTGAGTTTGCTTTATACAACATTCTTCATTTTTGTTGATGTCTAAGTCAGTTGTATTTCTTTATTTCCATTTTCATTCAAAACACTGCCTGTAAAAGCTCGGTGGTTTGGAACGGAGGGTTCAGGAACTGCAGCAGGCTCTAACCTCGTCATGTCTATGAGCTTTCATTCTGCCAGGTCTTTCCTGTCTTGGCTAAAAATTCCTGCCACTATCTGATTACTGTTAAAAAGTTTAAAGTTTTAAACCATCTAGAGTTTTTGAGAGGTATACAGTAACTTAGTGTCCCATATGGATAGTTCTTTTGTCCTTTCCCCACCGAAATGTGACTTAATTCTTAATCATTTGCCTGTTTCGGATTTTGTTTGGAGGCAGCTCATCAGGGTTCTCCCACAGTTAGTAAATTTGTTAAGGACTGAGTTTTAAAGAAAGGGAAAGAAGACCTCACTCCTTAACACGCCAGAGAAAGATCTGCTTCACCTTCCCTGAGGTGTGAAGCTACACACACAGGAGGTGTGGCTTAGCTGTGTTGGAAACGCGATTAAGTACGAAGCTTTGTGAGCAGCATTTTGGGGGGTCGTCTTTGTGCTTGGAAGCAGCCACGTCCGTGTAGTGTGTATATTAGCAGTGTCAGGTACAAAAGCTTTAACGTACGCTCATAGTTTCCTTTGACTTTAAAAATTAATGTCATCTAGTTTTGCTTTAAATTTTAACGAGGTTTTCATGGGGATGTTAGGTGAGTAGTCGTCACTACTGCAGCTGTGGACAAGGCGACGATGTGTTGAGGGAGGACTGGCTACAGTGATGCCTGGGGTAACAGCGTTACTGGGTCTCATGGTGCCAGTGAGATCACGGCATCACCAGAGTTCCTTGGCACAGGCCTTGCTTAGCCTAAAGGGGTTTAAAATACATATATGTTTAACAGATGTTAGCATTTCAAAGAAGACTAAAGAACTTGGGAAAGAAACTAGAGAATCACTTGTCATGAAATTTTTATGTGGATTCAACTATGTGTCTTTAGAAAAACAGATTTTATGGCTTTGTGACCCTGCGAAAGTTAGCATGCCATTCCGTTTTAAGTGCTTTCAAGATATGCTTCAGCCGTGTATTACGCTGCCTCTC